TCCTCCTCCTCCTCCTCCTCGGTATCGTGAGTTGGGTCATCAGGCCGAAATGAACGGCCGTGTGATCATATGCTCAGCGTGTGGCGCCTTCGCCGTCGATCAGGGAAGGAACGCCGAGCTTCTTGGTGCCTGGGCCCGCCCAAGGCTGCCTCGACCAGGCCCCGAGCCCGTCGAGGGCTCCACCCCCAGGACCCGCGAGGCCTTGCCCTCCCTGGCTCGGCCCTTGCCCGTGTGCGCTGGCCCCAGCCCCCCCTCCTCCTCCTCCTCCTCCGTCCTCCTCCTCCTCCTCTCCTCCTCCTCCTCCTCCTCCTCCGCCTCCTCCTTCCTCCGCCTCCTCCTTCTTCTTCCCTCCCCTCCTCCTCCTCCTCCTCCTCCTCCTCCTCCTCCCTCTCCGCCCCTTCCTCCTCCTCCTCCCTCCTCCCTTCCTCCTCCTCCTCCCCTCCCCCCTCCTCCTCCTCTCCTCCTCTCCTCCTCCTCCTCCTCCTCCTCCTCCCCCTCTCTCCCCCGCCTCCCTCCTCATCCTCCTCACCTCCCTCCATCCTCCTCCTCCCCCCCTCTTCTCCTCCCTCCTGCCTCCTCCTCCTCCTCCTCCTCCTCCTCCTCCTCCCCCTCCTCGTCCTGCTCCTGGAGGGTGAGCGTGGGGCCGCGCCACTGGCCGGCCGCAGGCGCGCCGCTGCCGCCTGCCCTCGCCGCAGCCGTTTGCTGCCTTCTTCTGCTTGCTTCCTGGGGATGCCATTCGCTCTCGGATGCCTCCTATGGGCTCTCACCCTCCTCCTCCTCCTCCTCCTCCTCCTCCTCCTCCTCGTCTTCCCTCGGCGGCGAGCGAGGGGGGGAACTGAGAAAGAGGAGGTTCGGAAATCACCCGGCCTTCTGAGCAAGTCTCTCAGCCGAGAAGTTCTCTGAGCTCTCACCGAAGACAGAACAAACACTTCTCGGAAGGCGCGATGGGCTTCTGAGAAGCCCCCCCGCCTCCTGGGAAGGCCTTCTCCTTCACACTGCCCCCCGATTCCCTCCCCTGGGCCGCGTGGCCATCGCCCTCGGGCTCCGCTCCCGATGCGCCGGGCTGCTGGCCCAAGAACACACAAATGAATACGCACAAATCCCAAGATTCCCATATTTTCTTATATTTTCTCAATGTTTGTCTTCCCCCCACTCCCCATATTTCCCCATGTTCTCCTGGGAATCGTCGACCACTTGCGTCCGTGTGTTTTCTCCCCTCCCGACTTCCACTCGCCTTCCCTCCCCCTGGGCCGCGTGGCCATCGCCCACAGGCTCCGCTCCCGATGCGCAAGGCTGCTGGCCCTTCGGCGGTGGACAAGCCTCCCTGTAGTAAACCTCCCCGTAGTGAAGTCGGCCTGGGACCGAAACCGGCGCACCTGGACCCGCAACACAATGACGGGCGCGACACCCTCTCGCGAACCGAAAGCGGCCAACTCCTTAATCGACGTGTCAGGGTAGGAGGTCTGTCCACCCCCGATCACGGTGCGAGTTCTTCTTCTTGGGGGGGGGGCCCTCCTCCTCCTGCTCCTCCTCCTCCTCCTCCTCCTCCTCCTCGTTTGGGGTGGGGGGGTTTTAAGGGGAGTGTCTTCCCTTTTGATTCTTCCCATCCTCCTCCTCCTCCTACGAGCCCTCTTTCTTGGGGGGGGGGCCCCGCCTCCTCCTGCCCTCCTCCTCCTCCTCCTCCTCCTCCTTCCCTTCCCCTTCACCTCCTCCTCCTCCGAGCCCCTTTCTTTGGGGGGGGGCCCCTCCTACTCCTGCCTCCTCCTCTCCTCCGACCCTCTTTCTTGAGGGGGGTGCCCTCCTCCTCCCGCTCCTCCTCCTCCTCCCCTCCTCCTCCTCCTCCTCCTCCTCCTCCTCCTCCTCCTCCTCCTCCTCCTCCTCCGCCTCCTCCCTCCTCCTCCTCCTCCTCCTCTTTCTTGTGGGGGGGCTCGCGGCCCACCGGGGGCCCCGTCCTCGCAGCGCGCCAGATGCCGAGGCGGACGGAGCGCCGGCGCTGCGGAGGGGCGGCAGGGCGCCCGCCCTGCACAGGGGAGAGCGCCCGGGCAGAGGCGGCACGTGCGGGGCTCGCCTGAGAGCGGGAGTGCCTTCCCCTCCTCCTCCTCCTCCTCCTCCTCCTCCTCCTCCTCCTCCTTCCCCTCCTCCTCCTCCTCCTCCTCCTCCTCCTTTCCTCCTCCTCCTTCCTCCTCCTCCTCCTCCTCCTCCCCTCCCCCTCCTCCTCCTCTTCCTCTTCCTCCTCCCCCTCCTCCTCCTCCTCCTCCCCCTCCTCCTCTTCCTCCTCCTCCTCCTCCTTCTCCTACAGGCGGATGCCCAGAGATCCAACGTGTTGAAGAAATCAAGACGGAGGTTTTCCGTATTTCTCGGCCTCGGGGGACTTCGCGCGTCGCGCTGCGCGAAGCGCGAAATTCGAATAACTTCGCGCTCTCGCGCCGCCTCCCAGAGGAGAAGAGGAGGATGAGAAGCAATCCGAGCCGAACCGCGAAGCGCGAAGCGCGAATAACTTCGCGCCCTCGAGGGCGCCATTGGACAAGGAGCCCTCAGATGAGGAACCCATGGTCTGGAAGCCAGTGGAACTCCGCTCGTGGGTCGGCCATGGACAACACTGCCGCCCTCATCAGACAAGGCATCCCGAGCTTCTTCATAAGCGTCGGGGGGGGCGTCACCCCCGCCGACAGCCCCACAACGACCCCCGTCGCGGGCAGCCACCGCGCGCCGAAGGCGCTCCGACCCCCGTCGCGGCGCGTCGACGAGGCGAGGTTGATCCCCGTCGGGGGGGTACCCCCCCACGCTCATTAAGAAACCCCGCGTAGGCATAGGGGGGGACGCATCGACCCCCAATCGCCCATTGATCGCCGAGGAGGGGTCTGATAGACACACCCCGCTCAGGAACGAACGGATTCGCTATCAGGGGCCTATCGCCGATCTCTCGGCCATGCATGGCCAGATCCAGGTCGATGTCCCCCCCCCCAAAACATCCGACGTCTCGACTTTTGTTCGAGGCTCGGGCCCCCGACCTCCCGACCACTTCCCCGGGACCGGTGTGTCCTTAGGAGGAACACAAACCTACCTCGCTTTTGACCACCCTCGCTTCCAAGAGATACCAAACGATGCCAAATTGCAGCCTGTACTGGTCAGGCCGCTTGACGGGGAGGCGCGTGGCATGGCTTGGTTTTGCCTGGAAGCGAAAGCGGGGTAGGTAATTCACGCTCTGAGTCCTCCCGAGTCGCTTCTTGCGGTCCCGAGGCCCGGCGACGGCCCCGAGAGGCCCAAAACGGTGGAACAAAAACTCCGCCTCGACGTTTTCGAGGCGCCCGATGCCCGGGGCGGGGCTCGCTCGGGGCGGGAGTGCCACACCCGGCGCGGGCAGTGGACAGGGAGCCCTCAGATAAGGAACTCAGGGTCTGAAAGCCAGGGGGGAGCTCCGCTCGTGGGTCGGCCATGGACAATACTGCCGCCCCTCATCAGACAAGGAGTCCCTCAGGGACGGAAGCCTCCTGGGCACACTCCTTGAGGAGGAGGAGGAGGAGGAGGAGGAGGAGGAGGAGGAGGAGGAGGAGGAGGAGGAGGAGGAGGTTAGGACGAGGATCAGGAGGAGATGGAGGGGTAGTAGAGGAGGAGTAAGGAGGAGGAGGCTAAGGAGGAGGAGTAGTAAGTAGGAGTTTAGTCAAAGCTAGCCAGCTCGAGCGAGACAAGCATGGCATGCCCAGTCCCACCCGCCCTCCCACAACATAAGAAGCAAAGCTGGCACAACTGGGGGCCGAAGTCACACCGGCCAGCCGGTTTGGTACAGCTGATGCGGCCGCAATGGCGGTTGCCGACGGGAACTGGCGAGCGCGTGATGAATGCCGCGCACGCATTGCCAGACGAGTCGAGAATGGCCTGGTACACCGCAGGAAGCCAGAGGTGGCCGGAGGAAGCCCGACGGTCTGACAGGACACCCCACAGCATTTTTGTGAAAAAGCATTGGGTTTTTGATGTTTTTGTGTTGAAATGCTTGCAAACACACGGTGTTCGGTAGGATTCTGACATGAACGCGCGAGTGTGCTCTTTGTAATATTTTTTGCACAGGATTCGCGGCCTGGGTGCATGACAGAGCATCGCGAGTGCACCGCGCGATGACGTGAAATCGCTGGATTTGACAGAACTCTTAAGATTCCTATGGTTTTTCCTATGATTTCAGTAAGAGAGCCCGGGCGGGAAATTTGTACATTTTTTGTGAAAAAGCATTGGGTTTTTGATGTTTTTATGTTGAAATGCTTGCAAACACAGTGTGTTCGGCAGGATTCTGACATGAACGCGCGCGTGTGCTCTTTGTGGTATTTTTTGCAATGGATTATCGCCGTGGACGACAGGACGTCCATGTCGAGAGGAAAAAATAAGAAAAATGTTGATTTTGTATTGTTTTTTACAGGTTAGGATGGGACCACCCGGATGCGCCCGCTATCTGCCGGCCTGAGGGGGGAGTAGGAGTATATTTTCTAATCAAGCTAGCCGATGGAGTAGGAGGAGTGAGGAGGAGGAGGAGGAGAGGAGGAGGAGGAGGAGGAAGAGGGAGGAGGAGGAGGAGGAGGGAGGAGAGGATGAGGGAGGAGGAAGTAGGAGGAGGAGGAGGAGTAGGCGGAGAGGGAAGAAGGAGAGGAGGAGGAGCAGAAGGAGGAGGAGGAGGAGGAGGAGGAGGAGGAGGAAGAGGAGGAGGAGGAGGCGGAAGAGGAGGGATCAAAGAGGAGGAGGAGGAGGAGGAGAGGAGGAGGGAGGCGGAGGTTGCCCACGCCGTGTGGCGCGGGGTGCTGCACTGCCACGGCCGCGCGCTCAGTGGTCGCCCGGACCCGGCTCGATCTCGCCGTGCTGCCGCCAGACAAAGAGCCGGCCGTCCCCGGCGATGGAGTAGGCCGTCCTGAGAGGTCACAGAATCCACCCCCACAATAACCTCCTCCTCCTCCTTCCTCCTCCTCCTCCTCCTCCTCATCCTCCTCCTCCTCCTCCCACTCCCCTCCTCCTCCTCCTCCTCCTCCTCCCCTCCTCCTCCTCCTCCTCCGATCCCTCCTCCTCCTCCTCCTCCTCCCTCCCCCCTCCTCCACTCCTCCTCACTCCTCCTCCTCCTCCTCTTCTTCTTCTCCTCCTCCTCCTCCTCCTCCTCCTCCTCCCCTCGTCGTCCTCCTCCTCCTCCTCCTCCTCCTCCTCCTCGTCCACCCCCGTCATAACCACCCCGACACGCGATGTCGTTTGGCAAGCGCGCCCAGAGGAAGGAGTCGAGCAGGGCAAGGCTGTTCCGTAAACGCCCTGGGGCCGTTTGGCAAACGCCCATTGTCCGGTCCGGGTGGCTCTTCCTCCCTTGATCATACAGATGTGAACATCACATGCCTATACATGCACGCATGTACAGAGGTGTGTATATATATGTGTATATATACATATCAATGTATAGACACATACACATATATACAGATATGTATGTATGTGTATATACGTATGTTCTCGAAGCGTCCTGTCCAGAGGCTCTTCCTCCCTGGCGTCCTGTTCAGAGGGTCCATCGCCACCGCCAGGCTGCGCGGGTCTGGGCACCCCCCGGTGTCCACCTGCTGCGAGCACCACAGCCTCGGCGTGTAGTCCCACACCCGGAAGAGGCCGCGCGCGTCGGCCGTGAGCAGCGGGCCGTTGTCGTACGGGCCGTACGCCAGCGCCACGATCGGCGCGTCGTGTGCGACCTGCGCCCCCTGGCAGGCGGGCTTCGGCCCCAGGGACCACTCCATCAGCACGCCCGCGCCCGCGCCGGCGACCTCCTCGAGGGGGGCAGCGAGGAGCCATCGCTCGGACGTCCATTCCCTGTGCTTTTTGCCGGTTCCGTGCGTGGTCTTTTTGCAAAATGACCAAGGATGCTCCTCGATGGTCCTCGCCGAAGGAAAAATGCACACGTCCGAGCGATGCCAAGGCGAGAAGGGGCGTCGGGCAGCTGGCACAGGCCCAGACGCCGGGCGTCTCGACGCAATCGGGGCGGAGTTCCGTCGTCGTTTGCGGCCTCTCGGGGCCATCGCCGGGCCTCGGGACCGTCACAGTAATTGGTAGTCCCCCAACGTGGTGGTGACAACGCCTGGCGGTGAGTCTCGGGCGATTTGGTGTCACCACCCGGTTTGGGGACTCGCGCGGTTTTCCGAGGATGTCCCGGACACTGGTGGGTCCAGGAGCCACAAAACCCGGTGGTGACCCCGCGTCCCCAAACCCAGCGGTGACCTTTTTGGGGATTCCAGGTCGCCACCTGGTACCTCACCACCCGGTTTGGGGGTTCCCAAAATAAACAACTCCTCGGGAAGAAGAAGCGGTCCCGGGGCAGTGGTCGGGAGGTCGGGGGCCCGAGTCTCGGAAAGATCGAGACGTCGGATGTCGGGGGGGGAGAACGTCGACTTGGAACTGGCGATGCATCGCCGAGAGATCGGCGATAGGCCCCTGATAGCGAATCCGTTCGTTCCTGTGCGGGGTGTGTCTATCAGACCCCTCCTCGGCGATCAATGGGCGATTGGGGGTCGATGCGTCCCCCCTATGCCTAGTTACTCTGGGTTCCTTAATGAGCGTAGGGGGGGACCCCCCCGACGGGGGTCAACCTCGCCTCGTCGTCGCGCCGCGACGGGGGTCGGAGCGCCTTCGGCGCGCGGTGGCTGCCCGCGGCGGGGGTCGGCGGGGCTGTCGGCGGGGGTGACGCCCCCCCGACGCTTATGAAGAAGCTCGGAGTGTCCCCCCTGCCCAGACCCCCGACGTCATGAATTTTTCATGACGTCGACCCCCAGCGGTCTGGACCCTTTCCCCGGGACCGGTTCTTCGTCCTGAGTCGTTTTTTGACGGTCCCGAGGGCCGGTAAGGGCCCCCAAAGGCCAAAAATAATGAAAAACCTCCCGTCGTGATTTTTTCATAACTCGAGGGGGTCTGGGTGTCGTTGCCCCTGACTCCTGGCCGTCGGCGAGAGAGCCCGCCACGAACAGCATCCCCTTCGGCAGGGCGGCGCTCCGCGCCGAGCCCTGCGAGCCCGACCAGCGCGACACCGGCCGGCGCACCGCCGTGAGCTCCGCGAGCTGGAAAGGCCTCGGCGCCGTCGTCGTCGTCGTCGTCGCCGTCGCCGTCGCCGTCGTCGCCGTCGTCGTCGTCGTCGTCGTCGCCGTCGTCGTCGTCGTCGCCGTCGTCGCCGTCGTCGTCGTCATCGCCGTCGCCGTCGTCGTCGTCGTCGTCGTCGTCGCCGTCGGTCGTCGCCGTCGTCGCCGTCGTCGTCGTCGTCGTCGTCGGTCGTCGTTCGTCGCCGTCGTCGCCGTCGTCGTCGCCGCCGCCACCGCCGCCGCCGCCGCCAGAAGGGCCTCGGCGCGGCCGCCAGGCTCGTGGGGAACGCGGCGCCGAAGCCCGCCGGCGGCCCCTGGGGCTCGACCGTCTCCGGGGGAAGAGGAGGCAGCACAGGCGCAAGCTTTCCCAGACATGCTCGCGTCGAAGAAACAGCAGCAGCAGCAGCAGCAGGAGGAAGAGGAGAAGGAGGAGGAGGAGGAGGAGGAGGAGGAGGAGGAGGAAGGGGAGGAGGAAGAGGAGGAGGAAAAGGAAAAGGAGGAGGAGGATGAGGACAAAACAAAAATATCCCGGCAAAGCAACCTAGCAGCGACGTGTGTAAGCATATCTGGAAGCATTCACCTTACGATTCAGGTGAGAATCCGGTTGTAGAATTCTGCTGTTCTTGCAGTCGCAGTCGCATTCGCAATGACAGTCGCAGTGGCAACGGCCTTAGGATCCAATGGAATTCTAAGGATTCCTAGGGATTCCTAAGGCATCCTTAGGCATCCTTAGCAATCCATAGGAATCCTTAGGAAACCTGAGGAATCCTGATTCCTAGGGATTCCCAGGGATTCCTAAGGATTCCTGATGACTCCTGAGGATTCCTCAGGAGTCCTGAGGATGCTTAACCATGCCTACGGATTCCTAAGGATGCCTACGGATTCCTAAGGATTCCTAGGGATTCCTGAGGATTCCTATGGATTCCTACGGATGCCTCAACCTGCCTCAGTTTCAGCCTCAGCCTCAGCCTGCCTCAGCTTGCCTCAGCCTCAGCCTCAGCCTGCCTCGGCCTCAGCCTCAGCCTGCCTCAGCCTCAGCCTCAGCCTGCCTCGGCCTCAGCCTGCGTCAGCCTCAGCCTCAGCCTCAGCCTCCTCAGCCTCAGCCTGCCTCAGCCTCAGCCTCAGCCTCAGCCTCAGCCTGCCTCGGCTTGCCTCAGCCTCAGCCTCAGCCTGCCTCGGCCTCAGCCTGCTCGGCCTCAGCCTGCCTCAGCCTCCCCTCCTCCCCCCCCCCTCCCCCCCCATTCAGCCTCACCTTGTCTCAGCTTCGGCCTGCCTCGGCCTCATCCTCAGCCTCAGCCTCAGTCTCAGCCTCAGCCTGTCTCGGCCTGAGCCTGCCTCGGCCTCAGCCTCAGCCTGCCTCAGCCTCAGCCTGCCTCAGCCTCAGCCTCAGCCTGTCTCAGCCTCAGCCTGCCTCAGCATCAGCCTCAGCCTCAGCCTCAGACTGCCTCGGCTTGCCTCGGCCTCAGCCTCAGCCTGCCTCGGCCTCAGCCTCAGCCTGCCTCAGCCTCAGCCTCAGCCTCGGCCTCAGCCTCAGCCTGCCTCAGCCTCAGCCTGCCTCGGCCTCAGCCTGCGTCAGCCTCAGCCTCAGCCTGCCTTAGCCTCAGCCTGCCTCAGCCTCAGCCTCAGCCTGCCTCGGCGTGCCTCAGCCTCAGCCTCAGCCTGCCTCGGCCTCAGCCTGCCTCAGCTCGGGCATTCAAAACATGGCGCAGGACTGGTGCTCTGGGAACACGAAGATCACGAAATGGCCCACAGGTGCTCCGGGCAATCAAAATATGGTACCGGAATGGTGTTCTGGGAACACGAAGAACACGAAGTGGCCTACATGTGGCTCCGGGCATTCAAAATGTGGCCTGGGAATGGTGTTCTGGGAGCACGAAGAACACGAAGTGGCCTACAGTTGGCTCTGGGCATTCAAAATGTGGCCTGGGAGTGGTGTTCTGTTGGCTCCGGGCAATCAATATGTGGCTCTTGGTAATGAAAATGGGGAGTCCCCGGATTCCCGCGGCAATCCCCGGATTCCCGCGGCACCCGTCCGGCATCTGCCTAGACCCCCCTGGGGAGTCATGATGCTCTCTTTCGAGACCACTAGAAACCTATCAGCCTTCGCTGTTAGGTAATCAGGACGAACAGTTTTTGGCTACTTTCGGCCCCGGGGGGGCCTCGCCGGGCCTCGGGGCCGTCAAGAAACGACTCGGGATGAAAAACTGGTCCCGGGGAAGGGGTCGGGACTTCCCCAGACCCCCGACGTCATGAATTTTTCATGACGTCGACCCCCAGCGGTCTGGACCCTTTCCCCGGGACCGGTTCTTCGTCCTGAGTCATTTTGTTGACGGTCCCGAGGGCCGGTAAGGGCCCCCAAAGGCCAAAAATAATGAAAAACCTCCCGTCGTGATTTTTTCATAACTCGAGGGGGTCTGGGTCCAGGGACGCCGTCCTGAAAAAATCAGGACGTCGCACGTCTGGGTTTGCAAGCCCGCTCGTCGCGCAGACTTCCCGGACCGCCGCCGGACGCCTCTCTCCATGGCGCGCGGGGGGCTCGCCCGGGGGAGGGCCTCGGCACAGATCCGAGCAGCCCGCGCGGACCTCCGAAATGCTATGCTCGAGCCGCTTCTTCTTCTCCGAGTCTCTGCATCGATCACCAGCGCGAGCTTCAGGTCCGGCACCGACCACACGCGCACCGACATGTCCTGCGCCCCGACGGTGTACGCGAAGAGGCGGTCCACGGCCAAGTCCGTCAGGCCACCCTGGTGCAGCCGGGCCTCCGCGCGGGCCGCGAAGCCCCTCGCGCGCGACAGGCATCCAAGCACCACTGCCGCGCCAGGCCATGGCCATCCTGGGCCCTGGCACCCAGACCCCCTCGAGCAATGAAAAAATCATGGCGGGAGGTTGTTCGCCATGTTCGGCATCTGGGGGCCCTCGCCGGGCCTCGGGACCGTCAAAAACGGCTCAGGATGAGAACCCGGCCCCCGGGAATGGGATGGGCCGAGACCTCTGGGGGTCGACGTATAATGAGAAAGTCACGACGTCGGGGATTTTTGGGAATGGTGTACGAACTGGCTCGCGCCGCGATGCCGCGGGCGTTGGCTTCTGACGCCGCGTGGATCGTTCCTCCTCGAAGTACCTCGGCTCTCCGAGAGCTCGGATCGCTCGACATCGGCCGACTCTGGGCCACTGGCGGCGTTGAAACTTGAACGCCCGCGCTGGGGTCGCCTCCGCGTCAGTGCGGCGCAAGCCTGCCGTATACGCCGTCCTGGCCCCCCGACCAGGAGGGTCTGCTGCTAGGGGGCCAGATGCGAACCCTACCCCTACCCCCCACGATTTCTGAGGGGGAGGGTGGGGTTCACTTCGTTCGGGAGCTCCCGAGCGAAGTGAACCCCGCCCTCCCCCTCAGGAATCGTGGGGGGTAGGTGTAGGGTTCGCATCTGGCTCCCTATCTGCGCAGCATCCTGTGTGCGCCTCCAGAATTTGACCACATCCACTGCCGCTGGGTCGTGTGCCGAGGGCTCGGAGCGCGGTGGCTGTGGACGTCTGCCCGCTCGCGCGGGCGGGCAGGTAAGCATCCGTGCCCACCGCTCCTCGAGATCTCAGGGCACGACTCCGAGGCGGTGGACGGGTGTGGACATAACCTGGCGGTGGACTGCGGCCCAGGATGGGCCCGGCGGGCCAGGCACGGTGGTGGTGTATCGATGCCCTCGAGCAGACCTCGTCTTCTGCCAGACGCGGCAGTGGCCGAGGGAGTCGGCCGTGAGGAGGTAGGTGGAGCTGACGGCCATGCGGGTGACGGGGGCCGCATGCTCCTCCAGCGAGGCCACGTAGCCCTCGTCCAGCCGCCACTCGACCACCCCGTCGGGCCGGTCGGGCTCTGGGCCCTCCTCTGGAAGAGGAACAAAAACGGCACAAACCCTGAGACCCTGGCGTTCTATTTCCGAGCCGTCCTGTGATGTTGGGGCCTCGCTTTGAAGAGACAGTGCCCCGCGTTCTCTCCTCTCCTCCTCCTCCTCCTCCTCCTCCTCCTCCTCCTCCTCCTCCTCCTCCTCCTCCTCCTCCTCCTCCCGCTCCTCCCTCCTCCCATCAACACCCCTCACACGCTTCGAGGCCCCATAGGGAGCTCCGCCGACGGTCCGAGCCCGCATGCGTCTCCTCCACCCAGTACAGCGCTTGGTGGCCCTATGAGGAGCTCCACAGAAGGTCCCAGTATCGCAGCCCGCACGCGTCTCCCCCACCCAGTACGGCGTTTCGTGGTGTCGCAGCCCGCATGCGTCTCCCCCACCCAGTACAGCGCTCCGTGGCCCCATAGGGAGCTTCACCGAGGGTCCCAGAAGCGCTGTCCGCATGCGTCTCCCCCACCCGGTACAGCGTTTCGTGGTACTATAAAGCGGGCTCCACCGAAGACGATACCTACAACTGCGGTACCCACAACTGCATATGGTTGGGTCCTTCGCCGAACTAATTTCTCACAGCGGGCGGCTTCGCCCGGCTTCGGGCAAAGAAGGTGCCGAAACAACCGTTCGGTTGTCTTGGCCTCTTCCCTACGCATGTCTTGGGAAGAGGAGGAGGAGGAGGAGGAGGAGGAGGAGGAGGAGGAGGAGGAGGAGGAGGATCCTTTTGCATTCCGCCACATCGAGAACTCCGCCGATCCTGTCGGCGTGGCCTGTCTGTTCGAGTCGTCGTCTCCGTCGGTCGTCGCCTCCGTCGTCACCTTTCCCTGCGCCCTCCTCCTCAAGCTTGCTTGTCAGCGAGAGAACATTGCTAGAGGTTTCTCAGAAACCTCTAGCAACGTCGCAATCGAGTCGAAGGGAAGCCCCTTCCCTTTGATCCCTCCCCCATCGAGGGGCGGGGTCCCGGGGAGGGGGGGGGGCTCAGGGGTGGGGGGGGGGTAGTCAGATGCGCATCCCCCTTTGGGGGGGCCCGGGGCACCAGAAAGCACCAAGACAGGCCAAGAGGGTGCCCCTAAGAGGCCCCCGAGTCGGTCCAAGAAGGTCCCGACTCGCCAAACGATCGGTCCGAAGCGCCCTCACGCTCCCCAGGCTGCCCAGGAGGCCTCCAGGACGCCCCCAAAACGCCTCCGAGAGCACTCCCGAGGGGGGCCCCGAGAGGCCATATTCATGGATTCCCCCCTATGGTTTTTCGAAGGTTTGGGCGTCCGCGCCTTTTCCCCTTCCCGCCGCGCCGAGAGGGCGCGAGCGGCCCCCCAAGATCGCCCCAACACGGCCCACGGTCCGAGAGGCCTCTCAGAGGACTCCAAGACAGCCAAAACCCCAAAGCCCCCAATACGATTCCAAAAGCGTGCCCAGACGGGGGGCCCGAACGGACATTTCGAGCCCTCGGTCCCAAGAGGCTCCCAGGAGGCCCCAAAAAGGCCCCCCAAAGGGCCCACGAGAGGTCCTCAGGAAGCCCGAAGAGGTCCCCAGAAGGCTCCCAAGAGGCCCTCATGACTCATGGGGGCCTCTTGGGAGCCTCATGAGTCATGAGGCTCCCGAGAGGCCCCAGAATTCCTCCCCAGAGGCCCCCAAGGGACTTCCGAAGAGACCCCGAGAACCATCCTTGAGGACTCTGGCCCGCGTCGGCGTCGTCGTCGTTGCCGCCCCCGCCGTTGTCGTCGTTGTCGTCTCCCTTCAGGGTCGGCGGCTGAGGCCGCAAGGCCTTCGCAATCGATTGCGTTACGCCCCCAAAGGAGTTCGATGTCACAACGCAAGGGAATACTTATATCTTCCGCCGCAGGAGGAATATTCTTGAATTTCGCCCCAGAGGAAATCCTTTCGTACCCCACCCGAATGGACATGCTTTTGCAATCCACCACAAGAGGAATCCTTTCGTATTCCGTTACTCCAACACAACAAGACATCCCTTTGCAATCCGCTACAACAGAAATCCATCTGAAACTAATTTGACGACTGCAAAAACATAGGTTGTCACAGCTCTATAGTTAATATTCTCTAACAGCGAAACATTCGTTTTGTTTGTGCCTGCGCAGCTCAACAATATGTAACAACAATCATTGAGCTTCCCATGCGCAGGCGCTGCAATCATAGATTTGCAAATGATTTTTCCAACTGTGACAACATGAAAACCCATAGAAAGCGATCAATTGCTGTGCCGGCACAGACAAAACCATAGTCTTAAGTTTCACAGAAAGAAAAACGTTGTGCGTTTCACCTCTTTAAGCTATTTCGAATTGAAACGTTAGCTTTGCCTTTGCCAGCGCAGCTTTGCATATTACCTAACAGTGAAGACTGATAGATTTCTAATGGTCTCAAAAGAAAGCATCATGACTCCCCAGGGGGGTCCGGGCAGGATCCGGGGAGAATCCGCGGATCCGCCAGTGACTATGGGGAACGCACCACTGAGGCTGAAGCTGAGGCCCCCAGCACCGCCAGTGACTATGGGGAATGCACTGCTGAGGCTGAGGCTGAGGCCCCAAGCGCCGCCAGTGACAATGGGGAACGCACCACTGAGGCTGAGGCTGAGGCCCCCAGCGCCGCCAGTGATTATGGGGAATGCACCACTGAGGCTGATGCTGAGGCCCCCAGCGCCGCCAGTGACTATGGGGAATCCACCGCTGAGGCTCAGGCTGAGGCTGAGGCTGAGGCAGGCTGAGGCTGAGGCTGAGGCAGGCTCAAGCTGAGGCTGAGGCTGAGGCTGAGGCTGATGCAGGCTGAGGCTGATGCTGGCTGAGGCTAAGGCCGAGGCTGACGCAGGCTGAGGCTGAGGCAGGCTGAGGTTGAGGCTGAGGTTGAGGCTGAGGCTGAGGCAGAGGCAGGCTAAGGCTGAGGCTGAGGCAGGCTGATGCTGAGGCAGGCTGATGCTGAGGCTGAGGCTGATGCAGGCTGAGGCTGAGGCAGCCTGAGGCTGAGGCTGAGGCTGAAGGCAGACTGAGGCTGAGGTTGATGCAGGCTGAGGCTGAGGCTGAGGCAGGCTGAGGCTGAGGCTGAGGCAGGCTGATGCTGAGGCAGGCTGAGGCTGAGGCTGAGGCTCATGCAGGCTGAGGCTGAGGCAGGCTGAGGCCGAGGCTGAAGGCCGACTGATGCTGAGGCTGAAGCACGCTGAGGCTGAGGCTGAGGCAGGCTGAGGCTGAGGCTGAGGCAGGCTGATGCTGAGGCAGGCTGAGGCTGAGGCTGAGGCTGATGAGGCTGAGGCTGAGGCAGGCTGAGGCTGAGGCCGAGGCTGAAGGCAGACTGAGGCTGAGGCTGAAGCAGGCTGAGGCTGAGGCTGAGGCAGGCTGAGGCTGAGGCTGAGGCTGAGGCTGAGGCTGAGGCAGGCTGAGGCAGATGAGGCTGAGGCTGAGGCTGATGCAGGCTGAGGCCGAGGCCGAGGCTGAGGCAGACTGAGGCTGAGGCTGAAGCTGAGGCTGAGGCTGAGGCTGAGGCTGAGGCTGAGGCTGAGGCTGAGGCAGGCTGAGGCAGGCTGAGGCTGAGGCAGGCTGATGCTGAGGCAGGCTGAGGCCGAGGCTGATGCAGGGTGAGGCTGAGGCAGGCTGAGGCTGAGGCCGAGGCTGAGGCTGAGGCTGACTGCTGAGCTGAAGCAGGCTGAGGCTGAGGCTGAGGCAGGCTGAGGCTGAGGCAGGCTGAGGCTGAGGCTGAGGCAGGCTGAGGCTGAGGCTGTGACTGCGACTGCCGTTGCCACTGCGACTGTCATCGCGAATGCGACTACGACTGCGAGAACAGCAGAATTCTACAACTGGATTCTCATCCGAATCTTAAGGGGAATGCTTCCAAATATGCTCCTACACATCGCTGGTAGGTTGCTTTGCCGGGATATTGTTTTGATGCAGCAGACATGGTTTGTCATACGCGGGCAAACAGGTCATAGCTTGTGACATGAATTTCCATGTGCAACAACTAAGAAACGAACGAACCCATATCCGGGCAAAGGACCCAACCATATACAGTTGTGAATAACTCGTTGTGCGTGCCGCTTTCGGTGGAGCTTGCTATAATGCCACGAAACGCGTGAGGGACGTGCCGTAATGGGTGGGGGGGCGCATGCGGGCGGTGCCACTGGGGCCTTCGGCGGGGCTCCCTATGGGCCACGAAACGCTGTACTGGGCGTGGCGGACGCATGCAGGCAGTGCCCTTCGCTGGAGTTCCCGATGAGGCCACGAAGCGCTGTACTGGTTAGGGGAGACGCACGCGGGCGGTGCGACTTTGGTTCTTTCTGTGGAGCTCCCTACGGGGCTACGAAGCGCTGTGCTGGATAGTGGCCGACGCATGCGGGCGGTGTCAGTGGGGGCTTCGTTGGGGCCCCCAGGGGGGGACGCATGCGGGCGGTACCACTGGGGCCTTCGGTGGAGCTCCCTATGTGCCCACGACGCGCTGTACTGGGTGGGGGGTTGCATGCGGGCGGGCCACTGGAGCTCCCTACGGGGCCACGAAACGCTGTACCGGGTGGGGGTGGGGGGGGGCGCATACGGGCGGTGCCACTGGGGCTTGGTGGAGCTCCCAATCAATGGGGCCGCGAAATGCAGTACTGGGTGGGGGACGACGCATGAGGGCGGTGCCACGGGGGTCTTTCTGTGGAGCTCCCTACGGGGCCACGAAAAGCTGTAGTGGGTGGTTGCTGACGCGTGCGGGCGGCCCTACTGGGACCATCGGTGGAGTTCCCTATAGGCCCACGAAGCGCTGCAGTGGATCTGGGTAGTGGCTGGCGCATGCTAGCGGTCCCACTGGGACCTTCTCTGGAGTTCCTTATGGCGCCACGGGACGCTGTGCTGGGTGGAGGTTGACGCATGTGGGCGGTGCCACGGCCGCCTTCGAAGGAGCCCCCCATGGGGCCACGAAGCGCTGTGCTGGGTGGTGGTTGACGCATGCGGGCGGTCCCACAAGGACCCTCGGTGAAGGTCCCTATGGGGCCACGAAGCGCTGTGGTGGGTGAGTGAAACGCAGGGAGGAAGGGCTGTGCTGGGTGGTGGTTGACGCGTGCGGGCGGTCACACTGGGACCTTCGGTGGAGCTCCCTATGGGGCCACGAACCGCTTTACTGGGTGGGTGAAACGCAAGAGGAAGGGCTGTGCTGGGTGGTGGTTGACGCATGCGGGCGGTCCCACTGGGACCTTCGGTGGAGCTCCCCATGGGACCACGAAACGCTGTACTGTGTGGGTGAAACGCAAGGAGAAAGGGCTGTGCTGGGTGGTGGTTGATGCATGCGGACGGTCCCACTGGGACCTTCGGTAAAGCTCTCTATGGGGTCACGAAAAACTGCACTGGGTGGGTGAAACGCAAGGAGGAAGGGCTGTGCTGGGTGGTGGTTGACGCATGCGGGCGGCCCCACTGGGACCTTCAGTGGAGCTCCCTATTGGGCCACGAAGCGTTGTCCTGGGTGGGTGAAACGCAAGGAGGAAGCGCTGTGCTGGGTGGTGGTTGACGCATGCGGGCGGTCCGGTCCCACTGGGACCTTCGGTGGAGTTCCCTATGGAACCACGAACCGCCTTACTGGGTGGGTGAAACGCAGGGAGGAAGGGCTGTGCTGGGTGGTGGTTGACGCGCGTGGGCGGTCCCACTGGGACCTTCGGTGGAAGTCCCTATGGAGCCACGAAGCGCTGTACTGGGTGGGTGAAATGCAGGGGGGGAGGGCTGTGCTGGGTGGTGGTTGACGCATGCGGGCGGTCCCACTGGGACCTTCGGTGGAGCCCCCTGCTGGGCCACGAAACGCTGTAATAAGTGGGTGGGACGCAGGGAGGAGGGGGAGGACGGCGGAGACAGGATGAACGCGGGGACAATCTCTTCAAAACGAGGACCCAACACCACAGGATTGTTGGTAACAAGTCGTGGCTTTGCAGGCACAAGCGACATCAATCTTGTCCTTATCAGATTGCAATGGGTGAACTTTTGTTCGCACAGCTTCAAACATATTACCCGACAGAAATATCCGCCAGAGTAACGCAATTAAAACATTGTGGTCACTGTGCTTCTGGACATGGAAAGCAATTCTTCTTAAGTAAGGAACTTACTTAAGTACCCTGGACACAACATAAACGTATGCTTTATGTTTCAAATAGCTAAAACGCTGTGCAAACATATGTCTTTCACTCATTCCAGAAGTTTCCATCAGGAATTCCTTTGGTGGCAGATTGCACACAAAAGTCCTCTTTGCGATGGAATGCAACAAGATCCCTTCTGTTGCAGGGCAAAATACACATGGACTGCTTGTGTGGCGGGGTACAGAAAAGGATTCCATGTGTGGCGGAGCACAACAACAATTATTGCTTATGTTGTGCAGTATAAAAAAATCTCTTGCTGGCGGCATACAAGGATATGGAGGGTGGACAGAATCCCAAAACTCGGAAGTCGCCATGTTGAGAGGGATGTGTTTTTAGGTTTTCGGCGGCATCCTTGTTTCCGCCATCGTTCGCTCGGCCCAACGCTGACTGCGTAAAAAATCCTTCCTCCTCCTCCTCCTCCTCCTTTTCCTCCTCCTCCTCCTCCTCCTCCTCCTTTTCCTCCTCCCCCTTTTCCTGTTCCTCCTGCCTCCTCCTCTTGGATGCCCAGCTCTGGTGCTTTTGAAATTGAAAGCCTTGTTTTCCAAGCGCAGGCACACGGGCCATAGCTTGTCAAGGAATTTCCAATTCTGACAACATGAAAACACATGAGCCGTCATTACTAGCTGTGCAGGCACAGGCGAAACAAATTTCAAAGCATGAAGGACACACGTGTGTGTTTCACAGGTTCACCTTTTACAAGCTGCGGTAGCTGCGCCTGCGCATGGAAGAACAACGGGTGGGGGGGGGGATTTGCAAATGCTTAAAAGCTGCACAAGCACAAACGCACCGAATGCTGGTACTTCAATATTGTTAAGTTCGCCGGCCCAACGGGCCAGAGGCGTGCTAAGATCTCCGGTAACTGGTAAACCGTATTTTTGGTTCGCGCGCGCGGGGCGGCCCCTGGGGGTCCCTGGATCAAAAGTACCCCGAGAGGAGCCCGGGACACGCCCGGGACACTCCCCCAGATCCTCCAGGATCGCCCCAAGAGGGCCCCAAGAGGCCCCCAACACAATCCAAGAGAGGTCCGAGACGCCCGAAGATCGCTCCACGGCGCCCAAGATGGCCTCCAGACGGCCCAAGAGGTCTCCAAGATGACCCAACAAGCCTCCAAGATGCCCCAAGAGGCCTCCAGGAGCACTCCCAAGAGGGCCCCAAGAGGCAAACATCAATACTTTTTCTTAGGTTTTGGACAGATTTGGGCGTTTCAAACTTTTCGGTTCCCCGATGCCCCTAAACGGCTCAAGAGGCCTCCGAGATCGCCCCAAGAGGGCCCAAGAAGCCCTCAAAAGGGCCCCAAGACGGCCCAAGACGGCTCCAAGACGGCCCCAAAGGCCTCCAAGACGGCCCAAGAGGGCCCCCAGAACGCCCCCAACACGGCCCAAGAGAGGTCCGAGACGCCCGAAGATCGCTCAACGACGCCCAAAATGGCCTCCAGACGGCCCAAGACGTCTCCAAGATGACCCAACAAGCCTCCAAGATGCCCCAAGAGGCCTCCAAGAGAACTCCCAAGAGGGCCCCAAGAGGCAAACATCAATACTTTCTCTTAGGTTTTGGACACATTTGGGCGTTTTAACCTTTTCGGTTCCCCGACGCCCCTAAACGGCTCAAGAGGCCTCCAAGATCGCCCCAAGAGGGCCCAAGAGGCCCCCAAGAGGGCCCCAAGACGGCCCAAGACGGCTCCAAGACAGCCCCAGAGGCCTCCAAGACGGCCCAAGAGGGCCCCAAGAACGCCCCCAACACAGTCCAAGAGAGGTCCGAGACGCCCGAATATCGCTCCACGACGCCCAAGATGGCCTCCAGACGGCTCAAGACGTCTCCAAGATGACCCAAAAAGCCTCCAAGATCCCCAGGAGGTCTCCAAGTGCATTCCCAAGAGGGCCCCAAGAAGCAAACAAACAATGCTTTTCCTGAGGTTTTGGACAGATTTGGGCGTTTCAGCCTTTTCGGTTTCCCGACGCCCATAAACGGCTCAAAATGCCTCCAAGATCGCCACGACACAAGAGGGCCCAAGAGGCCCCCAAGAGGGCTCCAAGATGGCCCCAGACGGCTCCAAGACGGCCCAAGAGGCCTCCAAGACGGCCCCAAGAACGCTTCAAGAACGCCCCAAGAGGGGGTTCACGAAATAGAATTTCGAGCTCTCGGCCCTTAGAGGCCCCCGGGAGGCCCCAAGAGCCCCCCAAGAGGCCCAAGGGGGCCCCCAAGACGCCGCCAAGGAGCCACAAGAGACCCAGACCCCCAAGAGGCCCCCAAGAGGCTCCTAGGAGGCCCCAAAGAGGCCCCCAAGAGGCTTCAAAGATGCCCCATAGAGCGCTCGAGGGCCGGCGGAATGAGCGAAGCGATTCATAAAAAGCTGTGCGAACATAAAGTTTGATGTTATGGGCCCGCAGAATCCGCGAAGCCTCGGACACCACCAGGGTCAACCACCGTGCCGGGCCTTACCCGGGCCCGCGCCCGTATACGACGAGCCGCAGGGCCCAGATGCGAGCGGGGCAGCGCCCCCAGCGCCGCCCGCCCCAGCCAGCGCTGCGTCGCCGGCAGGGACGCCTCCGGCGGCCGGCCCAGCGTCGCCCGCGGCGCCCCCAGCCGGCGTGCCCTCGAGCGCCTCAGCGGGCGCCTCTGCTCCAGGCGCCGCGGCGGCGCCGCCGAGGCCAGCCGCGAAGGCGCCCGTGGCTGGGCCCGATTCGGCCGCGCCGGCCCGCGCCTCGAGCTCCGCGGGGGCGAGCCAGGCCAGCCCGGCCAGCCCTTCCGCGGCAGCCGCGCCGGCCGCGTCCCTGTCCGCCAGGGGCGCCGCCGCAGTTCCGCCGAACGCGCCGGAAAGTGCGGCCTGCTCCTCGCCCTCGGCCACGCGCGTCCGCAGAGCGGGCGGCGCGCCTGGGGGGGCCGCGCCTTCCGGCGGCCCTTCGGGCGGGCAGCGGCGAAGCTGGCCTCCCGAGCGCCGCTGGGGCTCTACGGAGATGGCAGCGCGCGTGCGCTGCAGCAGCGGCCGCCGGTCCGGGGTGCCGCGCCGCCGTGCCGCCGCTCGTGTCATTCCCTGCAGCGCGCCCGCGGCCTCCACGTGGGCCCCCCCGTATAGCTGCTCCAGACCATGGGCTGGTATCGCGCGCCCCGCCGCCGCAGCTCGTCGGAGCGCGGCGCGCGCGCCTGCTTCTAGCGGTGGACCATTGCAGCGCAGCGGTCCAGTCCTGCGCCCGCGGCTTCCGGCGAGCGCGCCCCGACTCCCAATGCCGCGAGGCCGAGAGGCTCTGGGGCCGCCTCCGTGTAGCCTAGAGCAACCAGCAAGTGAGCGCGGTGGCGCGCGCGGTAGTGGCCCCAGGTGGCAGCGCCCGGGGCGCGCGTTTGCGGGCGCACGCCACATCGATCCACGATTTCGCCGCGCAGGGAGCACTCCGCACCCTCGGGGACCAGGGGCACCCCAAGGCGAAGGGCCAAGGAGTCGACGTACTCGGCGGCGCTGAGGACCGGTCCGCGCGCGGCATGGAGGCCACGGATCCACGAGTGATCTGTGGACGGGCGCCTCAGCTCGGCAATGCGGCGGACCCCGGGCCAATCGCCGGCGGCGCGGAGAGCCGCGTTGAGCGCCTCGAGCCGCGCCTCCTCAAGGACGAGGGACAGGGCGCCCTGGGGGCGGGAGGAGGGCGTCGATTCGCGTCCGGCGAGCGTCGCCGGCCTGGGAAAGCAGCCCGCGCCGCGCGCCCTTCAGCGCGTTGCCTGAAAGCCCCCCGCGACCTCGGCGAGCCCCTCTAACAGGTTTCGAGCCATCGGCCAGGCCTCCGCGCGAGCTGCCACGAAGGCGGCGGTGGCACGCTCGACAGCCGAGGCGAGGCCGAGCCCGGCCTGGCACGCGGGCAGCCCAGCTTGGAGGCGCGGGGGGGGGGGGGGACCTCGCTCGCAAGAGCTCGCCCCAGCGCGGCCGCCAAGACGTCGTCGAACTCCGCGAGGGCTTCGGTGCTGATGTCGGGATCACCGGGCCGCAGCAGATGCGTGACCTTGCAGACGCCGGCGCAGGACCGTAGCAGCGTGAACTCGGCGGGCGCGTCCTCCAGATCTGGGAAACGATCGTGGACTGCGGGGTTGGTGGGCCTTCCATAGCGTTCCTTCGCGTTGCATTATGCGGCGGAATGCGCGAGGATCCCTTCTGTGCAGAGGATTCTTTGCCTGGCGAAATGCGAAAGGATTGCTTCTGCGGCAGAGCGCGGAAGGATTCCTTTTCGCGGCGGAATGCCGAGGGAAACGTACAACGCAGAAAATATGATCTTTCTGGCGGCGTGCCACGATGGAGGAAGGAGGGGGCCCCCCAACTCAAACGCCTGCACGTTTAAGAGGAATTGCTTGTAGATGTTGGGCGGCATTCTGCCTTCCGCCATCTTTCGTTCGGCCCGCGGCGCTGCGCGGTCAAATGACACGCCGAAAACTAAAAAAACATAAACGTTGACTGGCCCAGGCGCTCCCTCCTCTTCCTCCTCCTCCTCATCCTCATCCCCCCCTCCTCCTCCTCTCCCCCTTGTATTGTTGTGCTGCCCCTCCTGCCCCCTCCCCGTCCTTCTCGCCCTTCTGCGCCCGAGCGCCAGCGATCTCCGCTTTCGTTGCGGAGGCGGCAGAGCGCGCGGTGACTAGCGGCCGCCCTGGTAGCGCCGGCGGTGGGAGAAGAGAGCAGGGAATCGACTGCGAGCAGCCACCTTCGGAATACTGCTGCGCAGGCGTTAAAAAACATAGCGACGGCGACGCCGATATCAAGCAAACGGGCCACTGCCAAATAAATCGCGCCTTGCCACCGTTGCGCGCGAGCCGAGCGCGCTGCTGTCTCGCCAGCGCTTCAGGCGAGAAGCACTAACTGCCGCGCGATGCGCATCTCGTAAGGGGAGGCCAGGATGTCGCCAAACAAATTCCGATGCGCGTTCTAAGTCCAGACAGTTGCCGACCACCCGTCATGCAGAACAGCTGAATTCCAGCGTCGATTTGGCGGCCCTTCCACGTAACGCATTCAGCGAAACACTGCGGCGCCAGCGCTTCAAGCGTGGTTGCTTCGATCTCATCTTGAATGAGTCGGGACTCCGCCCCTCGCCCAGGAGGCCTGTTCTCTCGCAAAGAAACCCTCCGTCACAAGTAAGCTGCGCTTGATGCGAGTCTCCACGGCGCCCTTCTTGTTGTGCGCAAAGAGTGCCAGAATTCGAATCCGCATCGGCTGGGGACTGTCTCGACGGTGGACGCTGCCCCACTGAACCACGACGTCGATTCAAACGCGTTCGTTTGAATGGTTGGAATATTTGACATGTTGCGTAGTACCATCTGGTGAATCCGACCAACTAGGAGAGCCCCGCAGGACCAATCCCACCGTCGCTCCTTGAAGCTCTGGCATTCGCGCGTACGTCGCGTATGGATTGTTATCAGAACCATCAGTTTGGAAGCCCGTGATGTTGAAATCTGGCTCGTGCGTACCACCAGTCCTCAGCCACGCAACGTCATTCGTAGTTACAGCCGTTATTTGAGCTGCATTAGCATCACCACTGGGAACGGACTGGTGCAAATCTAACATAATAAGTTTGCGACAAGGCAATGATCGCTCTATGCGATCCTGCTCCATCGCACGTGCTCGGCGTGCTATATCCAAATCCATCGCAAGGAAAGTCTGGCACCAGTCTGTCCGCGTTAGCTAATCAAACCAAAAACCACTCTCAACCTTGAGCCTGAATCGCAGGGGTCCTTCCCTCTCCCTTCCTCCTTCCTCTCTCCTCTCTGACCCTCTTCCCTCCTCCTTCCTCCCCTCCCTTTTCTCTCTCTCTCTCTCTCTCTCTCTCTTTCTCTCCCCCATCTGTTCCTTTCTCCCTACTCCCTCCTTGCTCTCTCTCTCTCTCTCTCTCTCCCTTTCTCTCTCTCTCTCTCTTCTCTCTGTCTTTCTCTTGTGTTGTGTGTTTCTCTCTTTCTCTCTTGTTACACATATATACATTTTTCTCTTGCTCTATATCTATATATGTATGTATGTATGTATGTATGTATGTATGTATGTATGTATGTATGTATGTATGTATGTATGTATGTATGTATGTATGTATGTGTGTGTGTATGTATGTATGTATGTATGTATGTATGTATGTATGTATGTATGTATGTATGTATGTATGTATGTCTCTCTCTCTCTCTCTCTCTCTCTTTCTCTCCCTCTTACCATACCTCATCCCTCAATCCCTTACTTCTCTCCTCTTTTTCGTCCTCGCTTTTTCCCCACTGCAAACGGATTCGTAAGGAGGGGGCCAAATCAACCCCCAAGTTGTTTTGGCCCTCTCTGTCGTTCCGGGCCCGGGGAGCCTCGCAGATCGATCCGGCCCGACACGTGACGCGGAAGAATCATGTCTGGGGCCCAAGTGGTGTTTTTCTGCGATGTGCGATGGCGCTTGTTTTCGCAACGTCGAATCTCAGGGAACCCCGGCATCCGACGTTGCACAAAAAAATGCAACGTCGCAACAAATCACGCCTGGAGCCCCCCACCCTCTTTTTCTGCGTCGTTCCTGGAGCCGGATCGCCCTGTGCGTGTCCCCAGGCCCGAAATTGAGCGAAAACGCCCGTGGTGGAGAAAAAAAAAAAAGCCAGGCGGCGCCTCCGGCGCCGCTCCCGGAGCGCTCTCCGTGCGCCGGCCCTACAGAGCGCGGGGCGCGCCGGAGGCGGCGCAGACCCGCGAAAAATCCGCACGGGCCTCCGGGAGTGGACTCCGCGGCGAGCCTGGCCTTCCCAAGCCCTGAGGCCCTGGCGTGGCAACTTTTTCACAGCGGGCGTTCTCGCTCCAGCTCGGGCCCGGGGATCCGATCCGGCTCGACAAGTGGAGCAGAAAGATGGGGTCTGGAGCTCCGGTCGTGATTTTCTGCGATGCCGCCTTTTCTTCGCAGCGTCAATCCTCGGGGTTCCCAGAATGCTGTGGGGCTTCTCGGAACCCAGACATGCGACGTCTTGTTTTTTCAGGACGGCGTCCCCGGAATTCCAGATCCTTTCGCCAGGACCGGCTTTTCATCCTCAGTCGTTTTTCGACGGCCCCGGGGCCCGGTAAGGGCCCCCAGGGGCCGAAAACGGCGAACAACTTGCCGTCCTGATTTTTTTACGACGCGATCATGTCTGCGAAGTCCTCTGGCATTCTGACAGGCTGCCCGTGCCTTCGGAGGAGGCTCAGGCCGCTCGCCCGGAGGACCCCTCGCCCGAAGCCCGCTCGCCCAGAGCCCGCTCGCCCACGGCACTGCTCGCCCGCAGCCCGCTCGTCCATAGAGGCCCGCGCCGGGAAACCCGCCCGCCTGATCCTCCTCCTCCTCCTCCTCCTCCTCCTGCTCCATCTCCTCCTCCTCCTCCTCCTCCTCCTCAACCTCCTTCCTCCTCCTTCCTCCTCCTATTCCTCCTCCTCCTCCTATTCCTCCTATTCCTCCTATTCCTCCTATTCCTCCTTTTCCTCCTCCTCCTCCTCCTCCTCCTCCTCCTCATCTTCCTATTCCTCCTCCTCCTCCTCCTCCTCCTCCTCCTCCTCCTCCTGCCTCCTCATATTCCTCCTCCTCCTCCTTCCTCCTCCTATTCCTCCTCCTCCTCCTCCTTCCTCCTAGAATTCGAGGTCTCCCAGATGGGGTCCCAGACATGATCGCATCGCAAAAAATCAGCACGGCTAATTTTTCACTATCTTCGGCCCCTGGTGGCCCTCGCCGGGCCCCAGGACCGTCAAAAACTACTCATGACGAAAAACCAGCCCTGGGGGAGAAGGAGGATTTTGAGGAGGAGGAATAGGAGGAGGAGGAGGAGGAGGAGGAGGAGGAGGAGGAGGAGGAGGAGGAGGGAAAGGGTCGGGACTTCCGGTGACGCCGTCCTAGAAAAATCGAGACGTCGCATGTCTGGGGACGGGTCGGGTCGGGCGGGCGGACCCCCCCGGGCGGGTCTGGTCGGGCGGGAGGGACACGAAAGCGTGGAGCACGGCCGACGTTGATCGGGAGCGGGCAAGAGGGGGGTGTCCAAGAGGGGGGGGTGCAAATCATGACCGGCGGCATGTGCGCGGCCCGGCGGGGGGGCCAGGGACGTAATGAAATAAGAAGGGGCGCCATGAAATCTGGGGAAATATCATGGCCCCCGCCATGATATCCCCCCCCCCCCTAGTCATGACCCTCCTCTTTTCCGCCCCCGAGTTGAGATCCTGGCGCTGCCATGTGTTCACCGTGGGCGTCCTCGCTCCACGTCGGGCCCCGGGACCGAGCGATCCGGCTCGAAAGATGAGGCAGGAAGGATGGGGTCCAGGGTTCCGGGCGTGATTTTCGCGATGCGTTTTTGAGGCGACGTCGGATCTCAGCGGAGGTGGCGCGCCTGTGCCCGTGACGGGCGGGTCGGGCCAGGCAGACCCTAACCGCCTGACGGGCGGGTCGGATCGGGCCAGCGGTACGCTAAAGTGCGTTGCGTGCTCAAGTGAGCATGCGTGAGCCCCAAGGGCGGTGCATGCTCGCGAGCACGCGTGAATCCTAAAGGGCGTGTCGGGTCGGGCGGGCGGTCTCTAACAGGCGGGGCGGCGCGGGTCGGATCGGGCGGGCGTACCCTAACGGGCGGCATACTCGAGTGAGCACTCGCGAGTCCTAACGGACGGGTCGGATCGGGAGGGAGGACCCTGACGGGCGGGTCAGGTCGGGAGGGCGGGACATTAAAGTGTACTGCAGCGATCGAGTTGCCACGTGTGAGCCCTTATGGGCGGGTCAGGGCGGGCGGGCGGACTTTGACAGGCGGGTCGGGTCGGGCTGGGCGGGACATTACCGTGTGGTGCATACTCGAGCGCACACGCGCAGGCCCTCATAGGCGGTGCGGGTCGGGCAGGGGGAAGGGGGGACCCGAACGGGCGGGTCAGCGGGACATTGGAAGCGTGGAGGACGATCGAGTGAGCACTTCTGAACATCGGGAGCGGCCAAGAGGGGGGGGTCCAAGAGGGGGGGGTGCAAATCATGACCGGCGGCATGTGCGCGGCCCAGCGGGGGGGGGCAGGGACGTAATGAAACAAGAAGGGGCGCCATGAAATCTGGGGAAATATCATGGCCCCCGCCATGATATTCCCCCCCCCCCCAAGTCATCACCCTCCTCTTTTCCGCCCCCGAGAACAGCCACGGGTGGGCCGGGTGGGGCGGACAGACCCGGAACTGCGGGCGCGTCGGGCCGGGTCGGGCGGAGACGGACCCTCCCGACGGGCGGATCGGGCCGGGCAGGCCGGACGTCACGGCGTGGAGCACGCGATGGAGCTCGACGCGCGGGCCGGGTCGGGCCGGGCGGACACTCCAGCGCGGAGCAGGCAGGAGGGGGAGGAGGAGGAGGAGGAGGAGGAGGAGGAGGAGGAGGAGGAGGAGGAGGAGGAGGAGGGAGGAGGAGGAGGAGGAGGAGGAGGAGGAGGGGGAGGAGGAGGAGGAGGGCGGAGGAGTGGGAGGACGGAGCAGCGGGCGTTTGCCGGAGCGGGCCTCTGCCGGAGCGGGCCTCTGCCAGAGCGCGCCTCTGCCGGAGCGGGCCTGCGAGCAGGCGGAGGCGCGAGGGCTGCGGAGAAGTCCAGCCGCCTTCTGAGATCGGCGGCACGTAAGAGTGGCCTTTTCTCTTCCCCCTCCTCTTCGTCTTCCTCCTCCTTCTCCTCCCTCTCCTCCTCTTCCTCCTCCTCCTCCTCTTCCTCCTCCTGCTCCCTCCTCCTCATCCTCCTCCTCCTCCTCAGCCTCCTCCTGGGTAAGAGTGACCTTTGGTGCGCGGCTTCGCGGGGGCCACGGGGGGGGGGGGCCAAACACAAGCGCGCAAGACGCCGCTGCCGCCTCGCGTTCGGCGATCGGGGACCCCAATGGGCCCGTACCAAAGGTCACTCCGGCGAAGGGTCACTCCTACGTGTAGTCGATGAGAGGGCCCTGCCCCCTCTCGCTCCCCCCCGGGGCTCGCCGCCGACGTATGTTTACTGTTCTGCCTCGATCCTCCCCGCATCTCCGCGCGGATGTCTTGGATCTGCGCTGGGCACCCCCCCCCTCCATGGCGCGCGGAGCGCGCCAGGGGGCGGCGCTGAAGGCGCCGCCAGGGGGGCCCTGCATCACGGGGAAATCAACACGGTCACACTCCAAAATCATCAAAACCGACGACGTGTACTTCCAACCAAAATACGGAGGGGGGGGGGTCTCAAAACCGACGACAACTTCTTGTCCGTGCGGAGCTCCAAAAGTTGATTTTCGGAGGGTTCCTCTGGTGTGCGCAGGGTTCCTCTGGTCTGCGGGGTGGTCCGACCGGGTCTGCAGAGAGCTTGTCTGCGGAATGGTCCCTCGGGTCTGCGCGAAGTCCCTGGGGCCTGCGCAATGAGTTCCCCTGGCCTGCCGAGAGGTTCTCCTGGGGTCTGTAAGAAGGTTCCTCTGGCCTTCGCAGGGTCCCTCTGGCCTCCTATGTCGTTCCCAGGTCCCAGACGTGCGACGTCTTGAGTTTTTCAGGACGGCGTCCCTGCAGGGAAATGCCCCCGGGAGACCAACGTTTCGTCCTGAGTCGTCTTTTGACGCTCCCAGGGCCCGGGAAGGGCCCCCCAGAGGCCGAAAATAACGAAAAACCTCCCGTCGTGATTTTTGTCAACGCGAGGGGCTCTGGGTCTCTTCCCAGCCCGACCCGTCCCCGAACGTGCGACGTCTCGATTTTTTCAGGACGGCGTCACCGGAAGTCCCGACCCTTTCCCTCCTCCTCCTCCTCCTCCTCCTCCTCCTCCTCCTCCTTCCCTCCTCCTCCTCCTCCTCCTCCTCCTCCTCCTCCTCCTCCTCCTCCCCCGCCACCTCCACCTCCCCCGCCACCTCCACCTCCCCCCCCCTCCTCCTCCCATCCTCCTCCGTCTCCTCCTTCTCTTCCTCCTCCGCCCTCCTCCTTATCCTCCGCCTCCTCCTCCGCCTCCTCGCCTCCTCCCCTGCCTTTCCTCCTGGCCTGCTCTCGAAAAAACTACTCAGGGCGAGAGACCGGCCTGGTGAGAATGGAGGGAATAGGAGGAGGATGAAATTAGGAGGAGGAGGAGGGGAGGAAGGAGGAGTAATGGGGAGGAGGGGGAGCCGGAGGAGGAGGAGGAGGAGGAGGAGGAGGAGGAGGAGGAGGAGGCCTGGGTTTCTTCCTCGCCGATCCTCCCCGCAGCTCCACACGCGCACGGCGTGGCCGCCCGGGGCACCGGCGGTCGCCGGCGCCCCAGGCCGCGGCGCGAGCGCGACGATGAGGCTCTTGGAAGAGTCCTCGTCCCGGAAGGTCGGAGGAGGGCCGATGGAGCCAACGGCGGCTCTCCCCTCGCCCTCCACCTTCCGCACCTTCCGCGCGGCAGGTGCCGCGCCGCGGCGGACGCCGCCGCCGCCGAAACCGCTGCTGCGGCCTCGGCGGAAGCCGCAATGGCGGCCGCGGCGGCGGCCGCCGCGGCGTGGAACCTGCGGCGCAGAAGGCGCGGAAGGTGGAGGGCGAGGGTCTCGGGGGGACCCAAAGGGGGGGATAGCCAAGGGCAGGGCAGAGAATCCGCTCACGTGGCTGATTTCGAGGGGTAGGGTAGAGAATCAGCTCACGCAGCTCACGTAGCTTTTTTGAGGGTGGTTCTCTCAAGCTCTCCGCCGCCTCTGGCGGCGTGCGTTGCGAGCAGGAACAAATGCTCGCTCTCCTGGGGCTTTGCCTCGCCAACTGCGGCTCCCCAGAGATCCAGCGCATGGGAAAAATCAGGACAGAGGTTTTCCGTATTTTTCGGCCTCGAGGGGCCCTCACCGGGCCCCGGGTAAACGACTCGGGACGAGAAACCAGTCCCTGGGAATGGGTCGAGACTTCTGGGGACCCCGCATTGAAAAAAACACGAAATCACCCTGTGATTGAGCCAATGGCGGCTCTCTCGGGGGGAACGAAAGGGAGGGATAGCAAAGGGCAGGGCAGAGAATCCGCTCACGCAGCTGATTTCGAGGGGTAGGGTAGAGAATCTGCTCACGCAGCTCACGTAGCTTTTTTGAGGGTGGATCTCTCAAGCTCTCCGCTGCCTCTGGCGGTGTGCGTTGCGAGCAAGAACACAGCAATGCCTCGCTTTCCTGGGGCTTTGCCTCGCCAACGGCAGCTCCCCAGAGATCCAACGCATGGACAAAAATCAGGTCGGAGGTTTTCCGTACTCTTCGGCCTCGAGGGGCCCTCGCCGGGCCTCGGGGCCGACAAAAAACGACTCGGGACGAGATACCGGTCCCGGGGAATGGGTCGAGACTTCTGGGGACCCCGCATTGAAAAAATCACGAAATCACCATGTGATTGAACCAATGGCGGCTCTCTCGGGGGGAACGGAAGGGAGGGATAGCAAAGGGCAGGGCAGAGAATCCGCTCACGCAGCTGATTTCGAGGGGTAGGGTAGAGAATCTGCTTACGCAGCTCACGTAGCTTTTTCCCAACCATCCTGTGGTGTTGGGTCCTCGTTTTGAGGATACGGTCTCCGCGTTCCTCCTCCTTCTCCTCTCTCGTCCTCTCCTCCTCCTCCTCCCCCTTCTTTTCCCTCCTCCCCCTCTTCCCTGCGTTTCACCCACCCAGCACAACGCTTCGTGGCCCCATAGGGAGCTCCACCGAGGGTTCCAGGTCCTCCCCATCCCCCCTGCGTTTCACCCACCCAGTACAACGTTTCGTGGCCCCGTCGGGAGCTCCACCGAAGGTTCCAGGAACACCGTCCGCATGTGTCCCCCCCACCCAGTACAGCGTTTCGTGGCCCTCCTCCCCCTCCTCCTTGCGTTTCACCCACCCAGTACAGCGCTTTGTGGCCCCATAAGGAGCTCCACCGAAGGTTCCAGGTC